CCTCCTATGGGCTGACAATGATGCTTGGCTTTAGCCTGGAAGTAGTACACACCAGCTGTTTCCATAAACCCGAGCCAAAGATGGTCACGGCAGTTTACAATTTCCTTCCTAAGTGAGTTTTAAATTAAAATTTAAAGTTCATAACCAAACACTAATTCATTTTTCTATGAGTGAGACATGATCCCTTTATAGTTTCAAACAATGGCAGGACAAGGCCTCCTGGGTGCCTCGGACACACAGGCTCTTATAAGCATAGCAGCCCCACAGGCTGCCACATGTACTAGGATTGGAGGGCTGAGAACGTACAGTTGAATCTCTTCCCTTGCTTTAGTCTATCCTGGTTCTCCTCTACATCTATTTCCTCTCCATCCTCATCTTTTCACCGGCTCTTCTTTTTCTTCCGAACCTTAAAGTTGGATTCTCCAAGGATCAATCTTCTGACACCTCTCCATGCTTATGGCTTCATCTACCTGCCTGTCACATTCAAATCCAGACTGAGCCCAGATTTCTCTTTTAAGCTTCACTCTTTCCACCCAGCTATCTTCTGAACACGTATCCACTCAGCCATCCCACAGGTATCCCAACACATGTACCGCGTTGGAATGAGCTATGGTTCGCTAAACCTTCCACAACTTAGCAACACTTCTCTCCTTATCACCAAATACAAATCCATCTCCATTGTACAAAGGCCTTTGATTCTACCCCCTAAATCATTCCATCTCCAATTCCACTCCTTTCATTCTTATAAAGGTCTTGTAAATGGTTTTCACACCTAAAATCCCATTATTTCCCAATATCTTACCACACATTTCCCCCAAAGTAATTCCTCTCCTTTGTTAATTTCACCATATTCTCAGCGCTAACTAGTATGAGTGGGTACCTCTGAACTGGCTGTACTTATGTGGTAGGTATTTTGATTAGTCGGTGGCTATGTCATGTGGCGGTCACTGTATCACCCTGGTTGTTAGCCCTTTGCTTAAAACCCTTCAGTGGCTCTTGAACAACTTAATTTCTTAGTGCAGTTTACCATGGCTTGATTTCAGGCCAGTGGCCAAGCTGTTATACTATGCTACCTAACACTGGGTTCACAGGCCTGTGCAGGTCCATCGTTGAGGGTGAGGGCTATGTAAACTTGGGAGAACTTACATCTTTATTTTTGTTAATCTTTTTTTTTTTTTTTAGCTTTTTTTTGGTTTTTTGGAGACAGGGTCTTACTATGTAGTGCAGGGTGGCCTTAACTTGCTTATGTAGCCTAGGCTGGCCTCAAACTCAGAGCAATCCTCCTGCCTCAGCCTCCTAAGTGCTGGGGTTACAGGCATATGCCACCATGCTCAGCAGTTTTTGTTAATCTTTAACTATAACTTAACATTTCCTTTAGTTATTAACACAGGCAACAATAAGCCATATAATTAGCAATGCTTATATTTTATTATCTATGAAATTAAGGATATTTTTGAATCATAGTAAACTTGTTATGAATAAGTAAAATTTAATTATACTCATCACTATAAATTTACAATAATTCTGTTACTTATTTAATGTGTTCATAAGGATGTACATATTACTGTATCATGAATTAGTTTTAAAAACATTTAGATAATAATATTTCAACATAATTGACTTCTTTTGTAATCTCATATTTTTTTATGCACTTAACATTTTTCTGAGAAGGGATTTATGTACTTTACGAGAGACCCAAAGAGATCCATGGCACACAAAAGGTTTCCAATCTACATTTTGAAGGCTTCTCCATCCAGTCTCTCCACCCATCTCTCTACTGTACATTTATCGACTGTTAATCAGTAGTGTGTGTGAAATGTGCTGGGGCTTAGGGAAGCCTGACACGAGAATAACACAGTTTCTCAACTCACAGTGGAGGAGAGGGGAAGGCTGATCATTTAACACTGTGTGGCAAATGCAGTACTATTACTACATAGGTAACCATAACAGCCAAGAGGAGGGGCATTTTCCAAAACCAGGTGGTGGGAAGACCTTGTGAAGATGCCTGGAGCCAAGTTTAAAAGGTAAACAGAACTGAAGTCAGGTAGGGAAATACCATAACCTGTGATACTGTAAACCATGGTACACCCTTTTGGAAACAACGTGAGTCTCACATGTTTCCTCCAAAAGAGAAGTAACCACCCAGTACTGAAGCAATGCAAAGAAACACAACCGTCTGATACAGGGAACAAAGACTCTGGGCCTTGGAAAGAAGAAAATCAGCTTAGATTTTTCAGAATTAAAAAGGATAATTTTCCTCAATAATGTAAAAAAATTTCTTTTCATGTAAACAGTGGAAATCCACTGGTAGAAAATTTGAATTTAGAACCAAAGCCTGCTGATTACGGAAAGATAGTTTTTTAGGGGAAAAGATGACAAGGCTTTGGATGACACAATAGATAGACTACTTTTATACCAACTTTCCTGAGGGTTCCTGGCTAGATAACACAAACACATATTTTTCAGAACTGTTTTATGTTGAATAACTGAGATAAGTGAGATGATATTTGTTAGAATGTATGGTTCCAAAATTCTTCACTCTGAATAGCCCTGGACAGGTATGAAGTTTCTCAATGGCTTTGTTAGGGTACAAATGGGATAGAGTAGCCATGACCAGAATATCTAAAATAGGAACATTTCTAATGTCAGGAACTGGTTTTCATATTTGACTAATTAGCAGGGGTTTTGAAGGCAGCAGGCAATGCCCACATTCTTCCTAGAACTGTGTGCCTTTTAACTTTCCTTATTTTCTTAAGCTGACTGGGACAGACTGTGTTGATTCAACTTTTATCAATATTAAATTATGGCATGTTTCCTCTTTTTATTATAGAAACAAAAAGTTGCAATAAACTTCCTGTCATTCTGTAGCTAGTTTCACTCAGGAACTGGAATTATATTATTTGAGTGGAGAGCTCCAATTTAGTGGGTAGAAAGCACAATCAATGCACTGCAAGGTAGCCATGTGCCATCAAACTCAACAGTGCCTTGTTTCTTCAAATTCTACAAGTACATTTAATGCTCTTAGAAACAAAACTATTCCCAGAACTGGAAAAGTTTACTCCTGTGACTGTGTGTTAATATTAACCTTGAAATGCCTGCCATCTACTATTATACCCTGCATTTTGCCCATTAAAGTTTCAGTAAACTTATAGCCCTGACACAGTTACTATGAACAGACCTCTATCTGGGAATGATTATACTTACATATGGATTTAACTTAGCATAGTAGTAAGTTAGCACCTTTCTTTGACCTCTTGCTGAGTACAACACACAAACAAAATCCAGAACTGATGAGTATTTTACAGCAGCTGGCTTCCACAGGTGGTAAGAGGGGCTCTAACACATGATGGGTCTAGTCACTCAGCAAGTGTGAATTTTGGAAGTGAGCAGCTGCCAGTCTTATTAACTGGGAGTTGAACTGTTTTTATAAACTTCCAACCTGGAGAACTTAAATGCATTTTTGAAACAGACTCACATAATTTTACTGAAAAATAAAAGACTATTGTCTTGCATTTTCACACTCCTCAATGTCTGGAAGTAGTTGAGAGTCCTTGGGAGAAGGTACTCTGGAGGGCCCAACGTTCTCCGTTCAGTTAGGGAGGGCTTCCTTCTGGTTCAAACCTCTTTACAGACAACTGCTATTCAAGAAATGCAATGACTACTGTGGGCAGGAGACAAACACAGATTGGCATTTTCCAAAGTCCTCTCTGGGGGGATATTTTCAGTACTGTGTCCCGAAAATATTTTTAAAGAAGTTATACATTTCTTGCTTTAAGAAACTTTTTTTGGAGGTTAGAGGAATAAGAATTAACACTGCAGGTAAGTTTAAGCCCAATGACTCAAAGTGATGAAGAGATTCTAAGTGGGTTCTCATGCACTGGAAGAGAAGGCTGCTCGGCAGGGATCATTTTATTATACCTAGAAGATGTCATTGGGCACCATCTGTACAGCTCCAGATCAATGCTGTCTAATAGAAGGATAAAGCAAGGCACAAAGCAATTTAAAAAATCTCCAGGAACAATGTTAAAAATGTATAAAGGAATGAGTGGAATTATTTTAATAATATATTTTATTTAACTCAGTACTTTACTGTGTATCTAAAATATCATTTCATGGGCTGGGGATACGCTATAGCTCAGTGGCATAAGGGCCTGCTTGGCAAGCACAAGGTCCTGAGTTTGATTCCCGGTACAAAAATAAATAAAAAAATATATCATTTCAACATGTCATCAACACAAGAATATTAATGAAATATTTCCCTTTTCAGGTACTAAGTTTTTGAAATTCAATAAATATTTTACACTTACGACACATCTCAACTCAGCCTATTCACCAGTAACCACATGTTTTCACTATGATAAACAGCACAGCTCTAGGTGGGGGCATAGCTCAGTGGTACAGCACTTGTTCTGTATGTGGGAGGCCCTGGACTCCATTCCCAGCATCACAAAATAAAGCAAAAACACAGTAGCTCTATCCTGTTCAGGATGGACAGCCACTAACTTCCAGAATATTTAGATGTGGCTTTATAGTTTCAGAGGTTCATACTCCCAAATGTGTTTGTGCAAGAGGCCAGTATTTACAGGTGCAACTCATAAATGCTGAATATTTCAGAAAACTATTCTTTTTGTTAGAACGAAACAGTCCTGCTCCAATTGACAGCAAAATAAGACAGGCCCACGAGTCATCAGGTCATATGTAATGTTAATTATTTTTTACTGTTTTATTTATGTCAATAAAACTCTGTTCTATTCTATAAATATTATTGAGTCTTCTCAGTACAATACATTGTCAAAATAGGAAAGTACTGATTCTAAAAATAAATTCAATGAAACATCAAAATACATGTACCTAGGTACTCAGCTTTGCTTCCTCTATGCAACTTTCAAGGGTAATATTAGTGTGAAGTAGTAGACAACGAATCTATAAACCATGAGATCTTATAGGCTTTAACCAATTTCTGCTCATCTGCTTATTTGCTTGCACACTAAAGAGATTACCTTAGATAAATGTTCCTTTATAATTTCATCATCTCTCTTCATTATGTTCCTCATTTCTTGGGCCGCCAGGTAGACAATATTAACTACATTTAAAAAACAAAAAGGCAAACATTTAGAATATAGAACAGACACAAACGTCACATTAATTTTAGTAATACACACATCTCCTTTCCTCTGTGCCAGTGCTGCGCTACAAGATGTCAGTGGGATCCACAGAGGCCTGGGAGCCATGTGGCATAGAGTCTCTGGGAACAAGGACATGTCCTAAAGGAGCCTTCTCTCTACCTCACTTGGCTTCTCTGTTGCATACCCACCACATCAGATATTCTTCTGAGCTATTTTTTGGTTGGCAATTTCCTTTTTAGGATCCACAGACTTTCTGTTTACTCCTAGATTATGGTTAATTTACAGGTTCCCTTTGTTGCCCTTCTGGGTTGCCCCCACCGCTTTCTAAGTCAAACTAATTAGTTCTTTAACATTTATTCATTCAAAAATAAGATTATTAAGCACCTACTATTATACTAGACATTGCTCTAGGCAATGGAGAGGATACAAAAACTACCTGTTATCATGGAACTTATGGTAAGAAACTACTCTGGAGAAAAATAAGCTAAGCAGATAGATTATGCAGAAAAGTCAGGGGTAGGCCACACAGACACCCGGGGAAGCAGCCATTCAGAGGGAGAGCAGAGGGCAGACACCTGCAGTCTGAGAACTCAGGAAAAGCCATTGGCTATGGAGGATGAAGTGGGAAGGGAAAGTGGATTGGTGGAGGCTGCTCGCTGATTCCTTTTCCATTGCTTGCACATGGTTTCCTGTGCTGTTTTGGTGACCATGTTGACATCTTAAGGAACTCTACTAGAGCAAGATTTTCTGGAATCTCTGCATGTATCAGAAAGACTTCTTTAACCTTTACACGTGACCAATATTTGGCTAGCTAGAGAACTGCAATTCAAAAATAATTTTCCCTAAGAATCTAGGAAGACATTGCTCTCCTAACTTGAAATACAGTATCTAGTATTACTGAGGAGAAGCTGTGTCAGTTTGAGTCTTCCTCCTTTGTGGGCTGTGTGTGTGTGTGTCTGTGTGTATCAACTTTGGAAGCTTTAAAAACCTGTTTATTATGGATGATTTAGGTATTTTATGAGGATGTGCTGTGATGGGGATCTTTTTCAATTCACTCTCTTCTTCAGTTCTGGGGAATCTTCTCATATTGTTGAAGAAAGCTTCCCCTTGGTTTTCATTATTCCAAGTCACTTGCTTTTACCTTTCCTGTTCTAAAATTTAACTTTTTCTTTGGTCATTGTTTTACTTCTTGTCTGTTAACCTGAGTTTTGTCTTTTACTCTTTCTAGTAAAGTATTAACTATGATATTTTTAACTTGCCTGGGGTCTGTTTTGGTCTCTGAATATGTCTCTTTCAAAGCACCCTGTGTTGTATTTATCACGTTTTGTGACCTAGGAGGACAGCATGTAGCTTTGATGTTTTCTGCTCCTCTGATTGCCTCCATTTACTCTAAGTTGGTTTGTTTCTTTACTTTCCTCAAATTCTTTTATGTTGGAGGGTTTCCTTTAAGTATCTGGTGAGCCTCAGTTGTTTATTCAGTTTTACATGAAAAGCATAAAAAGCTTTGCAGTGAAGCCAGTTTTACCAATCGGTGAGCTCCACTTTAGAATCATAATGTCATATTAAAAGGCCCTATATTCCAGAATATATGAAGCTCTTTCCTTTTGTTTTGGCTCTGAACTTTTTTTTTTGGTCTAGAGGTCAGGTGCTATCTGGCAGGAAGGTGGGAAGGGATGAGAGACTGTAAGTACTCCTCTTTGTCAAAACTATATATTAAGAATGTGGGCGGACCCGAGATCCTCACTCAGCCCGCGAACAGCTCTCACTGGGGTTTGCGTATTGGCCCTCTCTGTGCATGCCTAGCATGGAGTGAGGTACTGGACTGGGGGCTCCAGGAGCTGTGACACCGCAGCTCATGTTTGGGCTTTGCCTGCTCCCTGACCACCTGGCGGTTGCAGACGTGGGCAGTCTGTGAGCGCTGTTGGTGCGGCCCATTTCTAACTCCTGTGCAGACTGGAGACTCAGAATCAGGTGGTCCACAAACTGTCGACCCTGCAGCTCATGTCTGCATTTGCCTGTACCCTGAACTGCCTGGGGACACTGGTCCACTGGTCCAGGATTAAGCCACCAATGCAACCCGATCCTGAGTCATACATGTGCCCTGAACTACAAGGGGTCACTGGATCAGATGGATGGACTGCCATCAGCTGGCAGCACGGTCTGTGTCTGAGACCTGGGAGAACTAGATACACTTCACCATCTGCTGAAAAACCCCAGAGTAAGCAGTGCGTTTTAGTGGACACTGAGGGGCAAGCCTGAACACCAGGAAAATGAGGGACACTAGTGGCCTTTGCTGAGCTGCCAGGGAAGAGGGACACTGAGCGTTCTGTCTGGGATCAAACAGGACAAGACAAAGGACTAAAACACAATCTCAGAATTCACCCCACTCAGAACAAGTCCAGGAGACATCAACATAGAAGAACTTGGTAAACACACACCTGAAATTGCTGAAATGATTGCAATGGATATGAAGAAACAACTTCATCAAGTCATAGAAGAGATAAGATCAAAAATAAACTC